GGTGCCTTTGGATTGGCAGGTTATCAATCTGGCCCGGTGTTCATCCGCCGTAAGCGCACCACGCCATTTGCTTACTACTGAAGCACATAAAACGCTTGGTGTGCGAGCTGCAGCCCCCCTGGCGTAGACTTACGAGTGGCGAAGAATAGCACGCTCAAGCCGAACAGAGTCTCGCTGCACTAGGTAAAGGTTTCGTAGCATATTCCGATGGCAATTACGCTTTGTGAAGAACGCATGACATCTTGATCCGGTCCTGAAAATAGAAAGGAAGGGGGTTTGGTCTCAGATTTTCGATGAGATGGATGAGTAGGATAATTTGAAATTAAGGAGAGTTCTCCACGAGAAAACCCTTGTATTAGGGAATATTAGTCGCACTAGCTAACAAGACTATCGGCCTAGATGTTTGTTATATTTATGATACTAAATATTTAAATATGTATTACCCGGTGTAATAAAATTTCGCTCAGAACACGCACTCATTTGTGCCTACCTATATATATGAAACACGATTTTGATATTAATGATAGTTGATGATGAGAGTTAGGAGTATTTAATGGTAAAGTGGGTTTCAGTTAGGGTTGCCAACTTTTAAAACGCCTAAGGGAAGGAAACATAATTTTTAAATAGGACGTTGTATGAAACCGGCCTTGCTTTAGGAGGACACAATATTCGTTTAATTTCACGAAAAAATTAGGGAAAAGGCCTTCTGCATAAAAAAAAAAATTTTAATATTTCGATTACGGTTTTTGGCGGTTTGGATTCGATATGTTTATAAGTAAATGAGACCACTTAATTTTTAAATGGATTCCTTGTTATTTTTAATAATATTGTATAGTGTTGGGAAGTATCGAGTACTTTTGAGGATCGAGTTCTTTGGTATCGATACTTTTAAGGATCGGGTATTTTTGAGAGTACTGAGTACTTTTTTAAATATACACATGTTGATAGCATTTCAATGCTTAGTGTAGAAATCGTACAACCTGGCAGAAGTTTATTCAATTTAATATATGTATTATGTAATACCAAACTACCTTGATTAAATGGCTAACTGTACTGAGTATAAGTATTGTACTTGAAAATTATGGAGACTTGAAACTGAGTACAATCATTTCTGAATACCGGAAAATGTAAATAGAACTCACTACTTTTAAGTATCTATTCGACAATTAATACTGAGTCCTTTGAATCGATCCTTAGTACATGTATCAAAATTATGATTGGAACGAAATATTTTTGAGTACTGAGTACTTTCGAGTTCTTTTGTGAGTACTGAGTACTTTGGGGTACTCAGTATCGATACTTTTAAAAATCGGATACTGTCGATCCTTTTGAGAATCGAGTTCTGAGTACTTTAGGTATCGATACTTCCCAACACTAATATTGTAAAACTATAGCTCATTTTCTCCATATAAAAGAAATCGTTGAACATAAGTTCTTTGTATGGAAGAAAATGACTGGCATCCTCAACAAAAAAAAATGTAAAAAAATTTAACGGTAAGTCCTAGCCTTTTTACCTCCCTTTTATTAGCTCGGGGTGTAACTATGTAATATTGATGCGCCTAAAAGATGCAGCGATTTCTATTCTCAAGTATACCTGATGACAGTACGAATGGAAATTATAATAGCGAGGGCTTAGTTTATTAAAATATAATTTTATTTAACTTGCACTTTATTGTACTAAAATTGAATGGGCTACAAAACTGCAAACTTTTCCACAAAATCGAATTAAAAAGCTCGAAATTTTTACGAAAGTTTGTTGATTTTTTTGTAAATGTTGCACAAAGATTGAAACTTGGATTTATATGGTCTTTGTTAGAGAATATACTTTATTTTTATAAACGAATAACTATAATTAAAAAATTATTAAGATTAATTGGTAAAATCTTGTCAATATGTGAGTGTCGTAAAGTTTTGATACACACTATAATATATGTATATAGTATATATATCGTACTAGTATTATATTTCGCTGCAAAAATATATATTTTTAATCAACATTTAATTGCGTTTTTTGCTAAGGTTGCCCAACACTATAGCGGTTATCAATCAACAATAAGCAAAGCTTTTTCAGTGATCGAAAAAACGAAATCTTTATTTTTTTTAGCGGCATCCGGTATTCCTTTTGAGTCGTGAATAATCGGTCGCTCATACGAACTTTCCTTCTCGCTATATCGCTTTGAACTAAAAGAGAGCTGGCATTTACCATCCAATCCATTTTCTTGCAAAAAAAAAAAAGATTTTGTGCTATGCAGATAATTGTTGTGAAGTTTTACTTTGAAGACACTAAATTTTGATATGACTTCATATTGACATTTCTGTAAAATGGCTTCAAAGCTTATAACATGAAATATTCGCTCTTCAAAAATAATTTTCTTTAATTCAGCTTTTCTCAGTTCGTTTTTTACCTCACTGAAGCACCGACTAAAATTGTAACCTTTCGACCTTTTTCATCTCCGTTCCGCTATGCTCTTAGTCTTGATCTATAGCAGCATCAGCAAATAAAATCACAAGCGTACTCACTCTCTTTGGTTGTATTTTTTCATGCTAGAAAACCCAATTACTATTTGTACTAACTACGCTCACTGACTTTGTTATGCTCGCTTTCTACTCCGCCATTACACGCTGTTCTTATGCTTCGAAAATTTTTAGTACACACCAGTAAGGTGTATTAAACAAGGTGTGATCGCCAACTCAGTGTGGCTCTCTTCATAAAATTTTTTTCAATTTGACTTTATTGGATGGTTCAAATTCAATCACCTTTTGCACACAAAATTGTGTTGCGTGCTTTCAGCGCTTCATTCAGTCTATTTAAATTTTTTGGTTTACTATTTTAAAAATAAAATTTTTGCGTTTTCTCTCAACAGAAATAATAGCAACAAAAGTCAGCAAAACAAGTGAGTAACAGCAGCAAAGCTTACCATGCGAATTCGGTTGACAGTGTACGATAATAATTTCGTGTGGTTACACACTCGCTTTGCTTAGTACTCAGCGAATATAAGCGGCACTCAATTTTACGTATGTATTTTGTATTTTCGCATTTTCATATTTACCTCGTCTCTATTTTCGGACATCTCTGCATTCGTGTTGGCACACAACGCACTGTCGCACAGTGCCGCCTAAGTGGGCAAAAATCGAAAAATTCGTTGTCTGCATTGTAAACGTGTTTGACATTTTTGTAAAGGTAAATTACCTTTAAAAAAGAATTAAACAAAAATTTCCGTACAAAATAAATTTTATGCCGCCAGGAAGCCACTAAAGTGGACAAATGTTATACTAAGAATTTTAATAAGAGCATACCCATGCGTAAGCTCTTCACGGAAACAAATGTCAAAAATAAAAATACATTATTTGAAATAAAATGTTCGTTTGACGTTTTTTATTTCCATATAGGTAGTGGAGAACTACAGGAATAAAAAATTTGGAATAAACAATTTTTTTAATCAAAATTTCACAAAATGGTAAATTTTAATGGAATTAAAAAAAATATACGTATATGTGGTTTTTTATTATTTTATTAAATAGCACGGGTTTTTAACTTTCGAAGAAGCAATAAAAACATACTAAGTTTTTGCACTTTTTGAAGTAATGCGTTTTTTGCTAATGCATAAAATGTATTTTTTTTTAATTTTTTGTCAGTGCCATCAAATCTGCACGATCGTGCTATTTTCAAAAATTAAGTGTCAGATAAAAAATCTTGACCTGTAGACAATAGAGGTTTATTTTTTTTTAAGAGTTGCCACCCCTTAAAAAATTAAATTAAAATTAAAGTTAAATGAATTATTAAGAGATGGGTGTCAATCGAAATGTGCATGAAAAGGGTTTATTCCTCAAACACATATAGAGGGTTGCCACCTGATTAAAAAAACAAATTCCATTTGAATTAAAGTAATTGAAATAGATAGGTATCACCATATGGGAGTCAGACGAAAGAAGTTTAAGAAGGTGTTAGCCTGCAAATATTACGAAGAGGGCTGCCACCTATTTGTAAAGTCAAATTTAGTTAGACTAAAATCATACACTGTTGATCAGTGATTTGCTCTGATTACATTCCTTTTAAATGACTGGACTCTTAAATTGACTCTGGAATGTTTTTACTCTTCACTTATTTCTCGTTAAATATGTCAAATTTATTCTTTTGTCTGATACCCATATTGATATACATATTTCCGTTACCTTATTCCCTTAATTAAAGTGAATTTAATTTTTTATACATGTGGCAACCCTACTACGTGTCATATTGTAATATCGAATTCATTTAACTTATTAAATAATTTTAATAAAATGTGTAGCAGGTGGCAACCCTTTCCAAAAAAATAAAACTTTATTGCACATATGCAGGCCAAGCCCTGTCATTTGACACCTCACTTTTGAAAATACTCAATTTTACTAAGAAGCGTATCTTCATTTATATCCATCCATAATTCTATTTTTGCTCACATGTTATATGGAAGTGAAGCACTGTATGTCGGTGCTTTCTGCAGTAGGCGAAAATAGCGAATTGAGCAAATTGCTGTTCAACCATCTGCACTAGCCGCAAAGTGTACACAGAATGGGGGAAAAAATTATAGCTAAAAAGACTCGGAGAGGAAAATCCAAATTTTACGAATGATGTAGAAAAGACCTAAAGTGGAAAGAAATCGCTAGCAAAACATATATTTAACAGCCACGAACAGCAAAAACACATAAAAACAACAAGGCAATGGCAAACTTGAAATACATAGCAGCAAACAAAAACATTGAGCTAATGCTTAGTGTGTACCTTCTCTGCACACCTGTACGCACCACTGCGGCTCTCTCTTAGGCATTCTTTGTTAGCCGCTTAGCTTTTAATGCTGCTATTACCACCTCACACCTTTCCTGCTTCGTCCACGTCTCTCCTTCTACACTTATTCTGGAACTTGTTCGTCTTCAACCTTAGTCGCCGTGTCTGTGGCTTCTTCGTTTTCGCATTTATACGCTTTCATCAACACACCTTCTTCTCGGTTGGCACCCGAATGAAGGTTCGTGTCTTAAGTCTTTGGTTTGCAGCGATTCAGTTTCTTCGTGTACGCCGTCAGTGCTGGTTGTGTTTAGCGGATGGAAGAAAGCGTCTGCTGCCTCTTATGGACTAAGCTGAAAACAAAAATAAATTTTGCACGTTAAAACTGTTGGAAATATATTTAACTTTATTACAAGAACAACGAAAAGCTGAACACTGCGAATTTTTGGGTGTATGTGAGTGACGAAATTCCAGTGAAGAAAAAATAATATAAAAATATAGAAAATCGTCTATTAAATAAAGAGTATGCATACAATTTGTGTACTTGCATTTCACATTTCTGTGCAGAAAATTCTTTAATGTGGCGCAAAAAAGAAATAAACACAAATTCGCGTCTTTGAATTTACTTTGCATTGAGTTTGCTAAGCGAGTGTGCACAAATGGAATTGTGTGTGACTGTGTGCGTGTTTACTCGCTAGTTTTGTTGTGAAAGTGCAAATAAAAATTGTTTAATATGCAAAGAAAAAATCAAAAGCACTGAAAGCATTTTTTATGTGATTCTAAGTGAAATTTTTGTGGTATTAGAAATGCGCGAAAAAACGCATGAACCAGTTAGAGCGATTGAAAGAAAAAAGAAATACTAAAATTCGAAAACAGCATAATTGCTGGCAATATTAAAAGCAAAAACAAACATAAATATTACTAAAGTGTTAATAACATTATTTGAACTAAACAAATACTCGTAGTTCGAAAAACTTTTTATAACTGCTTTCTCGAGCACAGTTTTCATTAAACTCATACATATGGGTGTACGAATATTTTGCAATAACAAATTACATTGTTTATTTTCAAAATTGGTTTTTTAGAAATAATAGACTTTTATTGAAATATGTATTAAAGCAATTTGAAAAATTATCGAAAAATTACAATTATGTGCATCATCATCTTTAAAAAAAACTGCTTTAATAGCTGAAAAAATTATGAAATTTTTTTATTAAAATCCGTTAAAAGTGGGGAGTTTTAGTAAAAACAAAATACAGTATTCCATTTTAAAAGTGGGAGAAAAAAAGTTTCTATTTATCAAAATAAACATATTCTTTTTATTCATTAAAACTTTTTTAAATATAAATTTTCGAGAAAAGGTATTTTAAATCTAATATTAAAAAATTTATATTTTATTTATAAATTCAGGAAAAATCACAGAATAGCAGAAAAAAAATGTTATGAAAAAATTAAAAATAGTATTAAGATTAGTTAAAAGTTTAAAAATTTAGTTAAAACAAATTAAAGTTTTCCATTTCGAAAATTGGCATAGAAAATGTTTCTGTTTATCAAACAAAAAAAAATTTCATATTTGATATTGTTTTTTAAACAAAAATTATGTTTCTATGAATAGTGAAAAAAATGGTACTGTCGGTGTGAATTTAACCGTAGGAAAGATTTAACAAAAATATATATAAAAAAAAGTTGTATCTACTAAAAAATTTATATGTAAACAAACTGAACTTTATTTAGCCTAAGGGAAATAGGCGTACTAAATTTCGTTAGAGATCTCAATTTTTACTCGAGTTATCGTGTGCACATACAGACAGCCATGGTTTAATCGATTTCGCTTTGCATTCTGAGTATTTTTGTATATACATATGTATATGTCCATACCTATCTCGATTCCCATAGGCTGTTACAAACGACCGTTACGCGAACAAAGTTAATATACTCTTGTGCACAAGTGCGCTCGAGTATAAAAAAAGACATTTTTTATAAGTAACTTTTTTATAAAAAAGTAATTTTTTAGGTATACATATTTACAAATTTTTTATACTAAAAACTACTTTTTTGATTTTTGATTTTGTTTTATTTTCCTTTTCTTAAGGTTCAATGCACATAAAAAATGTATAGTCTTATTTAATTATCTACTAAAAAGATTTAATATAAGCAAAAAAAAAAATCGACATTACAATGTAATTTGTTTTTGAAAAATACGCACGTCTCAGTAAACTACACATCCACCATTCCATAGCCCATTCTAAAAAACATAACAATACCAGCTATTATTTGCAAATACTCGTAAACTAAAATTTTTCGACCTGCCCTCGAAAGGCGATTTTTCCGCTAAGCGCACAAATTTAAGCCAATTTAACGCTTGTTATTAAATATGATTATAAATTATACATGAATTAAAAAATGTTGGCCTTAACATTTTTCCACTAGCCGCTTCTGTTATTGTTGTCGTTCGAATAAAAATCAGCACTTTAATTTCTTTATTGTAAGTTTTGCTGTATTTAGTTATTGTTTTTTATGTATTTTTATTTTGAATCTACTCTATGCTTGGCTTAACAAAATTTTCCAGTTGCTTAATAGAATCAAAACATAATGAAAATGTGGACGTTTGTGTACAAAAAAAAAAAACATAGACAAAAACAAAATGCTGGCGTCATCGTTCGGCAATTTGAAACCACACCACCATTGAAAGCTTGGCAATAGAATGGCGGAGTTAAGCGAGAATGGCTCAGATATAACCAAAGGGGGGAAAAATAAAATTATATTGAAGTTCAAGCTGCGGTATTGCCTTGGAGAAAAATATAGGCTCCTAAGTTGCTTAGATGAAAAAAATAGTAAAAAATAATTAACAAAGGAAAGTAATATTATGTTAGAGAGATAGTGGCGGTTACCGCCAAGAACTTGAACCACCAACCAACAGGTTACCAACATTTTATACAAAGCTGAACAACTTTGTAGAAATACGAAGAGAAATAGAACTCCTATTTCCTCCCTCTACCCAATTACTGGAACCTATACTATTTATTACTTCGAAAAGATATGTTTTCCTAAAAGTACTCTATTAGCTCTTATGGCGTTCCTCTCTTGTTAGAGAATATACATTAGGTTCATGTTTGCCCAGAGATTCGATTAGCCACGCACTGATTAAATCTTTTACCAACTTATATGTATATAAAGTCAATTAGTGTGGCGTATTGCTTACTAATAACTCCTTTATCAGTAAGAAAACGGGTTTTTATGCCTGTTTATTTTAACATATCTGTGTGCAGCCCCTTAAGTAAGGAGCAGTGAGTTCTTGAGATAAGTAACTTTTTCGTTTTATTAAATTGTTATTGGTTACCTGCTTTTAAAATTTATTTCCATCAAATAGGTATATCGACTAAAATTCCGCATAGAAGTTGCCTTTAAAAAGAAGCTCTAATGGAATTCGAACCTAGATAAAGATATTTACAAAGCCAGGGTGTCATTCTGGATAGATGGATAGATATATTGAAGGGGTATGCACTGAAATCTAGTAGGTCTATTGTGCCCTCCACTCATCTCAAAACATATTCTATTCCTATAAACTCACCGCCAAGGAGCAAATACAATGGTGTCTCCTTAATTTAATCGCAGAAGCAACAGATGTCCTCTGAGCCTACAATGTCCAGTGGAGATGCCTGTAATGATTCTAAATTTTTGTTAGGGAGCTTAATGAGAAGTTTATACCTTTTTAGATTGTGCTCCCAGTAAGCGTTTGGCCTAGCGAAGGCCTCTTGTACTATGCTAGTATTGTTATCTCCTACTTATTATTCCATTTCTAAGCACTTGGGGAAGAACTGGGACATGAAACCTAAATTGGGTTGTTGTATGTACGAAGTCATTTTGATACCCATCCTAGGATGCACACGCCAGCCTGGTTAAATAAAACAAAAATGAAGTCTTCGCAGGCCGAACTTACCGCGGCTCTCGATGCGCATCAAGCAGTAGGCTCTAATGTTTACAATCACACTCATCTTGACAACAACGCAGAGGGTAACAATATGGTAACCCCATACACCCTCATAGTTGTAGAACAAGGGAAAAGAACCGTGGGAACCGTGTTTTCCAAGGTATAACTACCCTTAGAACTTCAAGGCTTTTTCCCTTATAGAACCAAATTGAACGATAAAGTATCAAAGTCCCGGAAATATAGCCACATCTGGCAAACAATAATTTCCATGACAAGACAAGAAGTAAGACTTTTTTTACTAGCCACATTAATCCTACAAACCGGGAAGTGTTTTGCTTTGACCAGCCCTGGTAGTCTACTGAGGAAAAGTAAGCTGTAAAGCACATTGTATGATATTGTAAGGGCCTTCCTATATATGTCTAGAGTTCGCTTCCTAGTAAAACTGTACCTAGCAGCGCATGACCTAAAAAGCATTCAGGCAGTTGAGTTACGAATGTTTTTTGAAAATTTCTTCAAAAAACTACACGACACATTTTCCAGGAAACAAATGGTATATTTTTTGACACTTGCAAGCTGCTGTTGAAAGAATTTGTCTACGCTCTAGCAAATGAAAGATGTATACAAAGCCAACTATAGGCAAACTGAGCCTAGGTAGGATCTAAAGAGATCTAGAAGAACGGGCATATCCAATGTCACCGCAACTAATTAACATTTGGGTTGGAGGTCAAGTGAAGATTCCAATTTCCAGTGTTGATTTTCAGGTTTAACTGCATTAGAGAACCGAATCATTTTCAAACGAAAGGGAAAATTTATTGCATGCAAAATAATCTGAGTTCACCATTTGAGAAAAGCTTGAATATCAATATTAGTTCATTAGTTTAAATGTTGAATATACACTTGAGAATCAAGAATTTCTCAAATATTGGAAAAAAATAGGGAATGGTTGCTTCTATGCATATTGGGGAGTACCATCTCGTGGATGCTGCAGATATAAAAAAAAAACTATGAGGGGAGCAAGACAGTTTTCCACATTCTTTTTGACGACCCACTCGGCACACATATTCTTTGAACCAAACCAACCACTTAATTTGTCCTATCCGAAGTAACAATGAAACCACAAAAATTTTGGGAAAAAAATATATTTATTTTTCAACATAATCTCCTTTCAGCTCTATACACTTTTCCCAGCGATGCTCAATAAGTAAGCACTCTCCGTCGACGATCATCCATTATCGTTTGTGGATTTTCTTCACCGTTTCTGGAGTCGTCGCCTCATTTGGTCGACCACTGCGATGCTCCTCTTGGCAGCTCGTACGGCCTCGTTTAAACTCTGCTACCCAATATTTTACTGTTGTAAACGAAGGGGCAGACCCGCCCAAATTAGAATCTATTTCAGCTTTTATATTGCATGGGCTGAGACCTTTCAAATAAAAGTATTGTATCATATAACGATGACCAATTTTCTCCATTTTCACAAATTCACTGAAAACATTCACTATTGACGGCTGCCAAGCATATACTAAACAACTTGGGCTCTTCAAACTTGAAACATATGCTTTATAGATTGTGTACTTTTTAACACAATGATATTTTTCAAACAACTACCGCCATCTCTAGGTTAGGTCGGGTACTTTTGGGACCACCCTCGTAATGACAGACATTTGCGAATTTTGACTTCCGGCCCAACTCAGACCAGCTTGAGACGTTGGTACTTAATAATGGAAATCCTCGCCTAACTTGGCATTTGAAAGCACTTCAAATGATTAGCCAGCCAAGCAGCAAAGCATTTTACGTGTAATAAAAGTAGTCACCTACAATTAAATTAACACCGCCATTGATGATTCAATGATGGACGTTAGCGCAAAATGCCAAGCGCAAAATACCAAGTGCCAACTGTCTGGCCTTCTCCACACGTTTGTGCGTTTCTTATTTCACTGCTTACTTATGTACATATTTTACAAATCTACAACGATGAGACTTTCACAACAACATTAGAAAAAGAACCCAATTAAACAATGAAAAAATTAAAACACAGCAACAAAAGCAATAACAGCAGTTTAACCAATAACAATGACAAAGTCAGCAAGTGCGGTGCACTGAGTTAAGTTGAGGTATTCAAAAATATTTCAAAAGAAAAAAAGTAAGATATAAAAAGCATACATATCTACTGCTACTTTGTCGATAGTTCCGCAAATGTGAGCGCAACAAATCGTCTCACTCACCTTCACCTGCGACCCACAACCGGCGGGGTGGGCACCAGCGGCGAACAGCGAGTCGCAGCGACCGCATGAGCCACCGCACCACACCGCAAAAGTCACACATGAACCACAAACCACTCACCGCACACCAAAGACCACAAAAAGCAGTCAGCCAGCGAGACGGGTGAACGGAATCAAAGAAAAAGAAAAGAATCGTTAAATTAAAGAAAACAAACAGAGCATTCTGTTGTTACGCTTTGCAGTTCCTTCTTCTTTTACATTTCTTCTTCTTCTTTGCTACTTTTCCCACATACAAGTACTTCTTTCTCTTCTGCTGTAATGCTGGTCGCTTACTGGCACTTTGCTTGGCTTGTGTCTCCGGTTCCATTGCATGCTTTTGATGGGCTTCTTCTTCAGCCGTTTCAACTCGGCTTTCTTCTTTTTCCCCCCCATCTTGCTGGGTGAGCGCTGCACCTTCCTCAAGACTTGAAGTGTTTATACGAGTATTTAAAAATAGTTACGTGTGTTTGTGTTTTGTATGGCGCTGTGAGCTGCAGTGAAAAAAAATTAAAAAAAATATTAATAACAGAAGTTACCGCTAAACGCAAAGTGATTGCCACTTTATCGCCGCCAGCGGAGCACCTTTCGAAATTTACGAAGAAAATCTTTAAGGCAAACATTTGAGTGAAAAAAAGAACTGAAATAATTACTGGTTTTTTCGTAGTTCAATTAATTTATTTTCTTTTTTACTTCATCTAATAAATAGCCAAAACCAACCACAGTGCAACAAAAGCAAAATCCATGCTATCAAACATAAATATATATCAACAAAACTAAAGTGTGAAATAAGGAAAAAAAACTACACAAAATAACAACAACGACAATCAAATAACTTCAAAATAATCCAGCATAAAAAGTATCAGAATCTTCTTCATCTAAAACCAAAAAAAAACAACAAAAAACACAAATCATCAGCTCCAGCTCCTCCTCTTTCTTGAATTTACTGCCGGTGAGTTATAGTTTCTCTTGCAATGAAAGAAAAGCTGCTTTACACTTACACACGTTTGTACATAATTTTAATCTTTTATGACACCAAAAACGCTCTGAAAAAAAAAATACACCAAATCAGCTACAGGAAGTTGCACGCTGAGGCGATTAAGAACGCTCAATAAATTGTGTTACATTTGAAAGCGGCTGTGCATTAAATTGCTGCTCATTTTTTCTCCTTTACTTCAGTTTCGATACCAATTTTCATTATTCTTGTTTTTGCTTCTAGCTGTGGTGATTCCATTCAGCGTTCAATGACATCGACGCCAACTGAGTTCGATAACAGTTTTCAATGTTAGGCAATTAACCTTTAATTTAAGCATGTGGGTATACCTGTACTTAGTGCGACTGTGAATGGAAGGTTTGGTTTTCTAATAAGCCGCAAGATTTGTATTGATTTTTTTTTGTTGTTTAAACTAGTAACTCACTACATAAATCAAGCTTCTACTAAATATTTAAAAAGTTGAATTAATTTTTATTTATTATTTTTAGTTATTTACTTAACTATCACATTCAAATTGTTTTCCATCATAAATATTTGTCGTAAATTTTTATTTACAATATGGCTCTTTCTATAACAAAAGCCATAAAACTAATTTTGCAAACTTTGTACAAAATTCACAAAAGTTCATCGAACTTCAAAAAATTTTCATCAAAATTTCAAATTGTTTAAACAGAATTTTTAGAAAATTTTTGTTTTTTAATCAAAATTTTTTGAAAATTTTCACTTTTTTAGCCCACTCAATTTTAGTATAACAAATAGAGTGCAAGTTTGAAAAAACTAAAAATTACGATTGATTTTTTTGTTTTTCTGTCGAGGGTGTTGCGCTTTTTCTTCCATATAACACATGAACCAAATCTATTTATTGAATATATGTATATATAATCTTACAATTGACAATTCCTTGTCCAATCCGAACTCCCCTAAGTCATCCAATAGAACGTTTGGTGACATCGAGACCTTGATTCACTTTTTACAGTGGGCTTATAAGGGACAGAACCCCAAGTTATAGTACATATACAGCCCAATTCTTAATACTCCCGGGGAATTTGTTCTCCGGGAATTTGTTTCTCCCGAAAAAGAAATCCTTCTATAATTAACTACCAGGGAAAACTTGGGAGGGGGAAGTTCGAACTTCGAAGAAGCTGTTTTACACTTTTTTGAGAGCTCAACTCCGCCATTTAATATAAAAAGTCTTCAGGGAATTTTTATTCATGATAGGAGGAAAGGGGAAAAGAGAGAAAACTGCCAGGGAGTTTCTGTTCAGAATCGGCCTGATAAAGTCGAGTCATACGAGGTTATGTAGTAGATCTTTCTATAAATTTGTGGTGCTTAGTTAGACTAATGGTGATTTCGTTTCTACCAAAAAATGCCGCCTTTTGATTGCCCCTCTCTCTTATCGCGTTCGATTCCAAATTGAAGGCATAAGATGAGAAAGTTTTGTGCTCGTTTCTTAAAATGTCCCACTTTTTTAAGATAAAAATAGCACATTCCCTGCCCTTTGAAGCATTGTCAGGGGAGATGGTTGCCCTCAAAATCACATGGTTGTTTAAAACGACAATATTATGAAATGCATGGGCTAAACAAGGACAAGAAGGCAAAAACATGCCCTTTTACAGGGTTGAGTGTAACATCAAACACATTTTACACCAGGAAAGGGCAAAATTTTTTGAAAGATACGAAATCACCATTAGTATATATGTAGTATCACCCTTTGTTCTGAGAAATTACTTCTAAAAAAGAACTCTCTGCTGGAGCTATTGAAAAGATACAAGTTTCATGATTTTGTGGCCATTTACACCGATGGCTACAAATTAGAACTCAGGGTAGAGAGTGAAGTATGCTCGCAAGAGTACTCACTCAACCCAAGTTTTCGCTTGCCGCATTTCTGCAGCACTCCATTTTGCAATCAATTTCTAACCAACTTCTCTATGAGCTAGAGACTTGAAACTTCACACCTAGCTCAGAAATCGGTGACAATGCGATGTGAAGTATGAATTGATTCTCTAGGTGGCGCAAAGGTCGGGGTACTTTAAAAAGTCGTACTTATGGTCAGATATGGTTCATATTTGAAATTTATATTACCTACATAAACGGAGTAACTCCACAAAAAAATTTTCAATTGGTTCAATATGGTTCATATTTAGGCCGTGTATTACTTGAATGGAAAGATATAATACTGCAAAAAATTTAGCCCTTGTGTTGGGCGGAGTCGATTTTTTCGTTTTTTTTTGTTTAACCACTAATAAAAGCTTGTATTGGATTTTTTTAAATTAGGTACTTGTAATTCTTGAATTCTTTGAGGGTACTTCTTCTCCAACAGCGATTTTAGTTTAGTTTAGTAGAAAAGAGGTACTTGCCATATTTAACTGCGCAATCTTCAGTAAATTCCGAGATTCCGGAACGCATCAAATCTTCTCACTTTGCCACTACTTGCACACGAGATCTTAATCAAAATGTTTTCTCAGCCGACTGGCCATAGAGTCAATAAACCTTATGAAATGCACGCACATCATATATGTAGCATGAATGCAGATCGTCGTAGACCACTGCTGGCGCATGTTTTAAGTCGTTAAGCACCGCTTACTGCGTTTCTTCATTGCTACCCTCCACTCCGCATAAATATGTATTGCCAACGTTGCTGCCAATTTGCCATACATTTTTTGTAGCAATCAATTTTCTTATCTGACATTAGCGATGCGCACACTAAATTATCGCAAGTGGACGTTTGTGGAAGATTACTGCCGCTAGTTAATTTATCTAGCAAGCCGCTTGCAATTGCTGACGAAAACAGACAGAGGCTGGGTTTTTTTAAAACAGCCCCCAGCAACATCCCACTGCGGACTGTGCTGCTCTTGTTGATTCATTTAGCAGCAAAACGTTCGCAATGAAGGCAAACGAATGCAGAAAGTTGAAGTAATTAGATGGCGACGCACGGCCTCAGCAGTAAAGCTGCTGACTGATCAGCCTAGACCGGCGGACCGATCTGCGGTCAAACTACTAAGTATGTAGATGCCGATCAAAAGACTGTAGAATCAAATGGCACCTACTACTGGATTTGTAGATGGTTGAGAGAGAAAAAAAATACTTGCAGTTCTTATTTTTGGTGGTGGTTTCGGTAGTATGGCGGAAGAGTAGCAGGCAATATTTCGTGCAGATAAAATAGTGAAGCGGAGCCGCAAGCGAAATGGGCAACTATAAAATTGCGAAATGCGATTGCAAAAAAAGACGTGTGTGTTTTTTGTTTGCTTGTTTGTTTGTGGCTTAAAGATTGACGTGCAAATATGCATACATCTATATGTATGTACGTAGTATGTACTTATCTTCATAATACGCTACGGTGGACAATAAATAATCAAAATTTTCGATGACAACGGCTTTGCTATCCAATTTTTTTTAGGGAGCTAAGCGGACGCATTTAGCCAAACGATAAGAGTCCTTTGCGCTGTTGATTGGCTAGTTAAATAGCGGCAGCAGCCAGTCGCCAATTATAATTGAAAGCCAGCTCTGACATTAACACAAAAGAAAATAATGTAAAAGCGTAGAGATCACGAGAACTTCGTGTTGTACTTATCACTAGAGTATTTGTTAATTGACTAGTCGACTAATGGGTTAATCGATTAGCAAAAGTTACTTATTTAAAAAACTAGTCAACTTCATTTAATCGACTTTTCGTTTCCTTGCGACTCTTTTAACTCACAAAAAACTAAGTAGTCGACTAACCGTTGATTGTGGATATTTGGACCAGTTTTTTTTCGTTAAATTAGCATTGGGGTTTTTGAACTTATCGACAAAACTCAACCACGTTAATAACAACAATATATTGTATTATCGTGCACAACTGTCATTATTCGGATAGTTTCGGTTAGTCAATTTTCAGACGACTTATAGGTGAGTGGTTGTTCGAAAGTGAACGGTTATTTAATAGAACTCGAGCGAATTCTTGATATTCGACTATTAACCGTCAAAAAATCTACTAATCGGCTAATCGAGGAACCTAATTATCGATAAATTTGCACTTATCGATACTTATGATTGTTGATAAATCATGGTATAAAGTAATCGATAAACGTAATTATCGGTATAAATGCAACCCAGCCCATTTATATTTACTAAATATTCGATCGCATTACAAGTATGATCGACGATTAATTTTCAATTATCGATAGTTATTATAAACAATAAATTTATCGGCAACTTAATATTATA